GATACTACACTAATCGTAAACCAGTATGAGTGATATTACACTGATATGAATGTAAGACATCGACCAGTATAGGTGATACCACACTAATATGAATTTAAGACGTACACCAGTATGAATATTTTACACTGATATGAACGTATGAATGATACTACACTGATATGAATGTATGCTACCTGTCAAGGCATCAAGGAATCAAGCACTGATGTGACGGAGGACTTAAAGTCGAGGGTGTGTAGTTCTCTGTCAAAGCATTCGATACGAAAGACTATCGATAGAAGGAGGTATTGATGTGATACCACCGCACCATTCGAGCACCATGGGTTTCGAAGTCCCCGTCGTGGAAGGGCGATAACTGAAGGCTGAAGGTTTATCTTGTGTCTCCTTCTCGCCTCAAACCAGCGTGTGGATATTGCGCTGAGAGAACGTCTTGAGTCTTCAGCGTATACTATTGCGCTGCGTCTAACTTACAACTGCATTGTTCAACACCATTTTTTTTTCATACTATCAATTTGTACCCATGTGTGACATTGTGATACGCACGTGTGACATTGTTATCATCCTAACCCACGTGCTACAGTGTATGACATCATAAAACTATTCTCTCATGATATATTGGTTTACATAAGTAAACTATACCAACGCGTGCCTCTCAAACCGTTAAAGTACTGCTGCAAAGCACGTATGTCATTGTGTGTGGGCTTCATCAGCTTACAACTGTTGCGCAAGACGAACATTTCAAGCCCTTTAAATAGCTACGTAGCAAGCGCTGAGATCACAACTAACTTGTTTTACATCCTAAACCTCACACGTTTCACTCTAATAGCCAACACCGGTTGTAGCCACACACCTGTCCTCGTGGGTGGCCTTCATCAGCGTGTAGTTGTTGCGCAGAAAGAACTTCTTGAGTCCCTGGAGCAGCCACTTAGCCAGCAGTGGGCTCTGTTCTTGAAACTTATGGAACGCTTTACTGATGTCGTATGCTGGGCAAAGAGAGACGGCCGCTTGGACGGGTTGTGTGTCACCTTGTTGACCAATGTATGATACACACTACCGAGGGGCGAAGAGCAATAGCGAATGGTTAGCTGTACGTATATATAGGTATGTATGTATATATAGGTATTTATGTAGAGATGCATATCAAGGTATGCGTGTCTCTGTGTGTATTCAATGTATGTTCGTCGATGTAGCTGTGTATAGGACATATATCGTCCCTGACATACACACCACCCACACATGTCTTGATCAATGCCTATCGGTACATTCCCAGCAGATAGTCCTACCATCCCCACGAGCACTCCGGATAATTCTGCTTCACACATGGCACCACAAGGCGCCGTATGCTTACTGCACACTCCACACGCTTGCACCAATTAAGCCGTGCATGAAACATACATCAGTCGATGATATACACACCACCCACTCGCTTTTTGGCAAACACGTACCTGACCACTACCGGCAGATAGCCCGACCATTCCAATGAAACTCTCCGGATAAAGCTGCTTTACGCGCTGTACCATGAGCGTAGTATCCTTAGTGCACCCCATGAAATTGAACTTAGCTGTGACCAGGGGCGCTGCATGGCCCCGTCTGGCCAACACCATAGCTCTCATACCACGCGCGTATGCTTCTTTGCAGAATTCCGACTCGTCCGCTGGAATAGCAGTGGTGGGAGGTGAGCAGGCGAATGGGCGGAAATCAGATCAATAGCATGCCTGTGAAGAGAGATTAAGTCACAAACACACCGGTCTACTCTCAAATAGAGTGCGAAAATGCAGCCATAAAACTCTATGCCAAGAGCATATACATTTACAAAAAGGAGGACCAACATAACATAAAACTCTTATGCCAAGAGCATATACATTTACAAAAAGGAGGACCAACATAACACCAACATAACATAAAACATTATGCCAACAGCATGTACATTTACCAAAAGGAGGACCAACATAACATAAAACTCTTATGCCAAGAGCATATACATTTACCAAAAGGAGGACCAACATAACATAAAACTCTTATGACAAGAGCATATACATTTACAAAAAGGAGGACCAACATAACATAAAACTCTTATGCCAAGAACATATACATTTACAAAAAGGAGGACCAACATAACATAATATTACAAACTATTGTGGGTTTATAGAGCTACAGCGGTAGTGAAAGAATAGTCACAGTTCATTGGTCTGAGTCCTGTCCCCGCTTAGAACACTAGACATTGGAATATACCACATCTGGTGCCCGTGATGGACCTTTTGATGTCATGTAAAACAAGACAAGTGCGGTACTGAAGAACATTCCAAGCAATTATAGAACAGGAATTACACCTCAACAAACTGCGAATTCAGGGTATAGAAGAATTACCTGCCGTGCCCCCAATAGTGTGCAGAATCAGTACAATGGGCGCGTTCACTGGTAGTTCTGTGGCTCCCTGAAGCAGCAATTGAGTGAGAAAGTTTAAGGCGTAGCGATTTCGTGGACTTGATGAACTCGCTTATATGTGGGCAGCTATGATAATCCCCTGCTATAGCCCATTGGCCTTTTATCTGCGTACCACGACCTTTTCAAGTCGGGCTGCCAAATACCTACTCGAAAAAAACCGCAACTAGCGTAGCTCTCGGGCATTATCACAGTTAGAAGAATGCGAAATAATCCGGGTGTGCAGCCTTTGAAGGATTGAAAGACACTGGTTTATATGTTTATGTTTCTGATTAAACCAACGACGGATTGAAAGAGACTGGTTTATATGTTCATGATTCTGATTAAACCAACAATGGACTGAAAGACACTGGTTTATATGTTTATGTTTCTGATTAAACCAACGAGTACGCACGGCCGGAATAGGGCCGTTGTGCATTATGTTGACAAGGCGAATAACACCACACGCAAAGTCCGCAGATTTCTGATAAAAAGTATTAGATACGAACAAAATGGGCTATTGAACCAATGCACATAGAGCACAGTGGGAGATCACGATAGCATAGCAGCCGTGCTCAACCCCCAGTCATACATCCCATACATACCGTACTAAGCAAACAAAACATCATACTCAAGCTAACAGTATACTAATAAGCTCACCTCAGGTTCCACGAACTCTTCGATATGTACGACACCTCCATCGGGACACTGCACTGTATGCGTTTTAAATCTCACGGTGTTGTTGTGGACCGCCTTCCACAGCAGCAACAGACCCAGCTGTGTGTAACTGCCGTGCGCCCAGAAGGTGGGTGCGTAGCCGCTTAAGACAGAGTCCATTCGACCCAGAATACGGCCCTAGTCGTAAATGCAAGGCAGTGATATGAGCTCCCTTTTGCTATTTGACTCATTTCCATGAAGTGCGTCTTCTAGTTACCAGCTTTTCGTATATGTCGTCGGTGATATGGGCTTATAGTGTGTGTGGATGAAGTGAGGGTTATTTAAAGTGAAACCGAAAATTCCTAGATAAATGTCAGTATATATATGGGCCGATTTAC